TACTCTGGAAATGATGATGCATACAATGGACTCCGGACTAGGTGCGTTCCTCTAAGTCTTACTTCGAATATGACCAAGTTGCGAAAAAAAAGGTCAACAACTTCAATGAAATTTATTGTTGGGACTTTCATTTCATATGAAAGTGTATGAAGCAGAGGTTCGAAGTTTGATCTCACCAGAAGAGGACGGTTGAATTCTGTTGTGCTGCAACCGTTTGGCTTTTATACGACGTTGGGATTGATGCAGTTCCTCTTTTTTAGGTTGAAACGGGCTGAGCTTTCGTCCAGCATATGATGCACATCATCAACGCATTCTATTAAGTTGCCCTGACAACATGACCAAGTTGCGACAACGAGGTCAACCCATTTCTATACATCAAAAGGAGACTGCGAACATACAGGAGGCCACACCATCTTGGTCTTCATATGTTCTACTAACATTCTGTAGTTACAGGCCATGGTCACCTTAAAATAAAGACATGATGTACAGCAATTAACTACTATTCTATAAACATATTGAGTAATTTTCGAAACAGCTAGTAGCTATTTTTATTAGAACGAGGTTTAGCATTGATCATTTCAGGTGATTAGGACTTAATCCGATGGCCACTAAAAACACAAGACTAGATTCCAAATCTCTTTATGGCTGCTGACTAAACCAGGCGAGTTGGAAAGCCTATTGGTAGTCAAAAGTAATGTATTCACCCTATTTCTTTAAACTGATGAAGTTAAATGATGGTAGTTAAATTTTCCTACAATGATATGATTATGCTCTGGGTATCCATTGAATTTCACATAGTCTCACTTTCCAATAGGTATTCTCATCCAAGCAGGAATGAAATGTAGTTTCGACATTGCATAGGTCTCATCAGCACCCCCAGTGTGTGTCAAACCCTAGTAGTGCTGCGGATAATATCGACATGTTAACCATTACAGAATGTGATCTAGGAAAAATTAATGGAATTCTTTAAAATTCACATTTGCCCTGTGACCCAAGTGTACTCGTGACAATGTGGCAATGTGGTTAAAGTGTTGAGATGACACGATGCACTATCATGGTTCCAGTCCAGCTGGGGGTGGTAATAAGGGCTGGGCCTGGATGGTAAAACCTTTTTGGTAGGCAAGGCTATGTGAAATCAAATGGAAACGTAAGGCTTTATTAGATTATTGTGGAAAAATTCAGCTGCCAGTCGTTCATCACCTTAAAAAATTAGGATAAATAAATTTCATATATATGAAAGGTATGAAAGGAAAAATGAGGTGGCCTTTTGTGTGATCGCAGTCTCCTTTCGTTGTATAGAAGTTTTCGCAACTTGGCCATTTTGGTAGAAAGACCTTGAGGAATGCACCTTGTATGCATAATCATTTCCAAAGTCGGCCCGTGGATGTGGTACATTCCCAGACGTCTCGCCGGCATCGTCAGTGGGTCTTGTCAGTCTTAGCAACACACAACAACTCGTCAAAGAGACAAGTGAAGGCCATCCTTTGACTAAACGTGTGCTAAACAGTTGTGGTATCTCCCCTTCTGCCCTGGCCTACTCACATTTCCTGTATCTTCCAATCATACCTTTACTATCACAATTATTTATTTATTTTTTCTTGCTTATTTAAATGTAGTTTTGGTGTGCTCTTTTGAGCGGCTTTCATGGGAACCCTCCACACTCCAAGCTGGCGTTTTCATCCACCTTCACCCTTGTTCTGGGAATGTTGATCAAAGTCTGCCATGCTGATGCCAAGTCCTTTCCTAGGTCTTATCACAGTCTCCCTCTTGCCCCGTAGAATCCGTCTGCTATCTCCCTGGTTCTAGTTTTTCACCCGAACCCTGGAGGCGTTATTTTCCACACTCTGCGACTGGGAAACTAACTCGAGGCTAAAGCCGCTGAGTAAGTCTCATGGTCAAGCCTTTGCTACATGAACCACGTCTCTGGTAAAAAACAGACCTACCGTCAACCAATTAGCTCCAGTATCCACCGCGTCTATCCTCTTTCTATCCATACTACCATGTCTATTACTTGCTATGCCCTAGTCTCTTGTGTACCAACCCACAAACGTTGTGGTTCGTTATTGAACCTAATCAAAAACATAAGAAAGAAGGACTACGTAACAATATGGCAGATTCCGATCAAAATTTCCGGTACAAGTATGAAAGGGGGTGTGGAGGGTCCTCATGAAAACCGCCTAAAAGGGCACAACAGACTAGATTTAAATAAGTAAGGAAAAAATTGTCATAGTGAAGGAGTGATACGAGGATATAGGATTGGGGATTAGCACAGAGCTGAAGGAAAGATACCACAACTGTTTAGCACAGATTTGGTCAAAGGATCGGCTTCACTTGTCTCTTTGATGAGTTTCAGTATGGTGCTAGGATTGGCAAGACTCGCAGACGATGCCAACGAAGCATATGGGAATGTACCACGTCCACGGTCCGAATCCGGGATGAAAACAACTTTTGGGAAATCAAGGCTGTGTGAATTTCAATGGAAACGTCAGCTCAACTCATATCATTGTGGGAACATTCTTCTTCTACCAGTCCTTCGTCACCTTAAACAAAATAGTGTGAATAATACATTTGCCCGGATTGACATCCTATCAACACAGCGCCTACGCATTGCGTCGCTCCCAGTATGACACATCTTGCTCGTGGTAACACTACTCCATAAACCTCTTTGATTCCCAAACTAAGGCTTCTTACAGACAATATCTTAAATTTTACAATCACTTAATTCCGTAACCTTTCCGCATATAAACAGTCCCCAAACTACGCTCTGCTGACCTCTATTTCGTTATACAGTCTCAGGTTTCCCACACATTGACTAAATGGGTTGAGATACGCTTTAGGTGAGCTATGACTGATAGTTAAGTTTTTCCCATAATGAAATGAGTAGTGAGATGTATTCACCCTATTTCGTATAAGGC